GGCTTACTTCAGCGTTTGCTGCAGTTTGTTGGAGCACGCAGCTGCCCATAGTCGAACTCGACGGGGGGACTGTCGTACTCTGCTCCAGACAGACGTACAAGCAGCCGCGGTGGACCTAAAAGGGATTTCAAAATGAAAGCGGATGTCTCGGGTTTCCCAAGTTATCCATCAGCTTCTGCTATTCTGATCCAAAATTTCTGCCAAGCTAGCACGTCAGAAATAAAATCGTCGAGGACTGGCACGGAAAAGAATGGGGACACTGATATTGGCTTATTTTATATCGGTGGCGGGTTATATTGACCACTTGACCAACCAGATGCGCGGCCAGAAGATTAAGACGCAAATACACAAGGATCCCATTTAGTCAATCTCTCTCTGCAAATTTGACTAATGTACGGCTCAGTATTACGGGAGAGAGAGAGAGGCCTGCCACTTTTATGACAGCCAAACTGACCACTGCATTGTTCTTCAACAAATGTCAAAGATTATGATGGCGTTTGTGACAAGTGTTGCGAATACGCAATTGAGACAGTCCGGAGAGTCAGTTAGTATCGGAGTTTAGGTCGTTGTTAATGGCCACATACCTTGAATAACTAAACAAAAGCCCTTTTAAGGTATGTATGTTGGTGGTCACCTCAACTTTCTTCTGTTGAACACTTCGACTGAAAGTGTTGCGACCCTGTCGGTTGCGATTTATAGATGCAAGGAAAATGTTAGGAAGTGGCGTAGATGTAGATGTATAATGCATGGAAGGAAACCATGCGACGTCAGTGGTCTGCGCAACTGATGGGCGTCTCCTGCGAGATGTTTTGTTGTAAAAACGTGCAGGCATGTGGGGCGACGACACCTGTAAGAAATCAAAGTAAGTATTGGGCACAGTCCTACACATGACAGTCTGTATCTTAATATACGATGCTGTGATTTGTATAGCGAGGATGAATTCCAGAAAGGCTAGGGACTTCCGTGTCTTCAGAGGACGAAGATGTGATCGCTGAAACGTGGCATTCATTGGCCTGACGTTCTGGATTCTCACTTAAACTCATCATCAGAGGAAGAACGTTTTTCGCTATCTCCTGCCCCTCGGCACATCTCCCCTTTCCGGGAGGCGGAAATGGTATCTACACGTGGTGGTACCTGTGTAAGACGCGAGCTGCTGTGATCATGATTTTTCAGTCCGCGGCTCATTATCAAGCCCACCGATCATCCCTTTCCTCTATTTTATTGCTAGTATCTGCTCGGACGGGAGCAGGGCGCGTGCGATCCCAACAGGACTTCCAGTGATCGTCTCAGTGCGCCCGATTGCAAAGCATTGAACGCCCCAGCCGCTAATACCTCCAATGCCAAGAATAATGGAACTGCCAATTTTGTGGTGGTTGTGTATCAACTGCATTCTATGAATAACGCACCTCGTGTGCGTATGTCACCATCTTCACTTTCTGTCTCTGATAACTTGCTCAAGTGTGAATCCGAAACTTCGGACCAGAAAATTCTCATTCGAGCGCGCTCGAGTCTCCTTCCTGGAAGTTGCCTTTTCGCTTTTGTCTGCACCGTCGATGTCATAGTTAGATATCGTACCCTAAGTCCTGGATTGCCTGCCCTAGCCGTCGTGAACGCACACATTCCAGTAGGCCATACAAATTTACTCGATTTGGCGATGAATGTCAGTTTGCTTAGTGCTGTTTGTCCGGACGCATCAGTTTCTGCCGACGCTGTAACACCATTTTCATTCAGCGAGTCGTGTATGCTCATGGAGAATCGCGAACCATGGTATTAACGAGGTCCGCCGTCCAACCTGGCCCGTGAATGAATGCGTAATGCATAAGTCGCCGTTTACGTGTGTAAATTTTCATTGAATGGCTGTGAACACTAAACATTTAATGCCGTTTTCGTTTATAGCCTTTTGATAGTCACCCCATTTCGCCAATGGGAGGTCCAGTCATACCTGATGGTCGCATGCGCCATCTCCTCAGTGAACCATCTGATTGCTGTGCTCCAATGTATGCCTCCTTAGCTGGTCGAGGACAGCATGCATAAGCTCGAAATACCTATTATCTCATTTGACCTGGTCTCTGTTTACCTGCCTTTGAGGCGCACACACGCCAGCTGCATTTGTATATTTCCTCCTCAAATTACTGTGTTGGCAACACGTATTTTGTCCGAATTTAATAATTATGGGATGCTAACGATATTGCACTTACTCTCTGCTCTTCAGGAGACAGTACTCATTGTAGAAAAAAATCCCACGAAATTCTTCATTCCCGCTGACGAACTACGTTCGAGGCAGTTCTTCCTGCATGACGTGAAGGCGATTGTACGCAAGGTTAAGGACAATTTGGCCGACCCACGCGATCTGAACAGCAGCCGAAAATCGGTTAGTTTTGAAATTCCCACACATGCCACATTGAATGGGACGGTCAACCGGAAGGCGGAAAAGACCAATGGACTCACACCGTCTCACAAACCGTAAGTTCTGACTCGAAATTTAATAAATATTTAAGTTGCCTGCTCTTAGGAAGGCGGCAGCTTTTCATTGCTACAATTACCGACAGAAACTAAAATCTAAGGCCTTGTCGTCGAACAGATAAACAGCACCACGCAGGCGACCCTTTTGTCAGACGGTTCACAGGTCCATTTAGACTGAGTTGTGTAATATTCCAACGTCGGACGAATGTTTGCCACCGGGCTATTATTTAACTACTTTTGGGAAACTGGAATAGGATCATATTGCCGATGAGGGGCTTGACGCAACGTCTCGAATCAGGTTTAGTAAAACTGAGTATCCTTCTGGCCAAGCTTTCATTTTTTGAAGAATTTGAAAACCTTCTCTTGTTAAACCTACCATTTGTCACGCTTTGTAGGGGAACGTCCCCGACTGACTAGGTTGTTTATGGCTTATCTCTTGAGACCAACCGGTCAGACCTCTATTCCGAGTCCTGAGAGTTGGAAATTTGATACCGTGCCAAGCGCTTCTGGAAGAATTCAGCATGGCAGTTGACAATACATTTTAATCGTGCCAGTTCATTTATATGGGAGCTGGGTACAAGTTAAAACACGTACGCCTTTTCATAGAAGTGAATAATCGGAATAGAGGTAGGGGTTAGGGTCGATAAGCGAAGGCTGTTTACGCGCCGGGGAAGGTTTGGTGGAGCCAGTCCAGGGGGAGGGGAGAGAGAAGGAGTGCATGTATTTAAGCGACCGTTGGCCCTGCCA